GGTCGTAAGTCGAGGACTACCCAACCGGTCATAAGTCAAGGACTATCCAACCGGTCGTAAGTCGAGGACTACCCATCCAGTTGTAAGTCGAGGACTTTCCCTGCCTGGGAGCGCCGCACATGCGTGGTGCCGCCCCCTGCGCCGGCCGAGGCGTAGCTGGCAAGCGGCAGAGACGGAGCAGGCCAACCACCGGCTGGGCCACCAGCTGGCCCAGCCCAAGGGAGGCAAGGCACCTGCCGGGCCCCATGTGTGCCAGCAACCCTCCCTGCACCTGCCGGCCTCCCACCTCCCACCCCTGGCCCTCTTTTACTTACATTTTTAGTAGTTGCTCAGCAGGGAGGGGTGGAAACTTCCAGACAGCTCGCCTTCGCTGCAGACAACTTGCAACACTGTTTGCAGAATGGGACTTTTGGTGGCTCAGCAGGGCAGAGACAGCCTGGACAATTCCTACTGGCTTTTGAAAGCCAATAGAATATTAGACTCTATTCAAGAGAGTCTATTCTATTGGCTTTCAAAAGCCAATAGAATAAAAGGGAATAGCACAGCTAGGGAAAAGGGGAAAAAAATGGCGGACTGCGTTGTTTGGCGACCCCCGTGAAATGGTCGTTCGACCCCAAATGGGGTCGCGACCCACAGGTTGAGAACCGCTGCTCTAAAGAATGTTCTGTTTTGATTTGAGTTGAAGATGTCAATTAATGTGAAGGAGGCCTTACCTATCTGATCACAATAACAAGCACTCTGACTGTAAGACTTTCATAGAATAACACCTATCGCCGGCATCCATTTACCAGGATCCTTGTTCAGTACAGGTGCTCCTTGACCTACGACCACAACTGAGCCCAAAATTTATGTTGCTAAGTGAGAAATTTGTTAAGGGAGTTTTTCCCCCTTTTCTGACTTTTCTTGCCACAGTTGTGAAGTGAATCACTGCAGTTGTTAAGTTAGTAACACGGTTGTTAAGTGAATCTGGCTTCCCCATTGACTCTGCTTGCCAGAAGTTTGCAAAAGAGGATCACATGACACCGGGACACTGCGACCATCATAAATATGAACCAGTTGTCAAGTATCTGAATGACCAGGGGGATGCTGCAACAGTCATAAGTGTGAAAAATGGTCATAAGTCACTTTTTCCGTGCTCTTGTAATTTCGAACAGTCAGTAAATGAAATATTGCAAGTTGAGGATTACCTGGATTGATACTTCAGTGTTCCTCTGGTTTTTTTCAGAGCCAGTTGGCCTACAGCTATACCATTTTTATATTCTAAGATGCCTCCAGAGCAGTATTTCTCAAGCTTGGAACTTCAAGATTTATAAACTTCAACTCCCAGAATTTAGATTCCCAATCTGGATTTTATGGACTTCAGCATTGCCCATCTGGCAAAAAAGATTGCAAAATCAAGAGTGGTAATAGCCTAGATGTCATGGTTCCGACAGATGAAACTCTTCAAAAGAACTTTGAAGCATTGTTTACCTTAAAGAATCTTTTATTTGAATAGCATAATATCGGCATTGCATAATCGAAGCCAAAAACTGAATTTCCCTCCCCTGGGCACATAGTATCAAAGCACAATTCCCTCCTCCAATTAACAGTTATACATCACATTCCCCAATTAGCTTCCTCTCCAGTTCTCCAGCCTGCCAATTCTTTATCAGCTCTGGGCTCAATAACTTTGATTCTCAACTAAATCTAGTGTTGTTATGTTTAGCTAGACTTTCATTCACATCCCCTCCCCCTCCCAGCACCATCTAACTCTAAAAGCGAAAGGGAAAAAGATGGCTACATTTCCATCTGTTGTCAATGCAGAACATCCCATGTTAGCAGCATTGACATCAGATAGCAATCCTGGTCCCAAATAAAGTTGTAAGTTGAAGATTACCTATAATTTGTTTACTCAGCTGGTATATAGCTCCAATTATTGACTGACTCACCGCAGTTTACAATCCCATAGGTGGTGTGCCAAACCAGGGTTAAAATCACTAGCAGAACTAAAGAAATAACATACATCAAGTCTACAAACTCATCAGGATCACAACATATTCTGAGCTTCTGCAAGCAGAAAAATCCATATAGTCATAAATCAATGTAACGTGGGGCCGGTGTTGGCTTCAGTCAGGCTTTCTAAAGGTTGCAGCATCTGGCCTGAAATGCCACCAGTCCAATCAACTGGGTTAAAGGGTTTGATTGATGGTCTCCCTTGGCAGAAAGCCGCCCTTCCTTGGTGAACCATGACTTGCCTTGGAATATTGGAATCCAAGTGGTTGCCTGATCAGCTGACTTAGACCAGGTTGGTTCTCTCTTAGTCAATGTGCAAAGCACAACCATGTTGATTCCACCATGAAATGAAGCTAATATTCACAGAAGGATAAGCATGGATGTGTGTTGGTGCTTTTACAGTTATGGCCACAACTGAGCCCAAAATTTCTGTCACTAAGCAAAACATTTGTTAAGTGATTTTTTTGGTCCGCTTTTATGACCTTTCTTGCCAGAGTTGTTAAATGAATCCCTGCAGTTGTTAAGTCAGTAACATAGTTGTTAAGTGAATCTGGCTTTCCCATTGACTTTGCTTGTCAGAAGAAAGCAAAAGTTGGTCACATGACCCCGGGACACTGCTAAACGTCATAAATAGGAAATAGGAAGTGTCATAAATTAAAAAAAGTCTAAAGTAAAGAAGAAATGGGGTGATATGATAGCAGTATTCCAGTATTTGAGAGGCTGCCACAAAGAAGAGGGGGTCAAATTATTCTCCAAAGCACCAGAGGGCAGGACAAGAAACAATGGTTGGAAGCTGATCAAAGAGAGAAGCAACCTGGAATTAAGGAGAAACTTCCTGATAGTGAGGACAACTAACCAATGGAACAGCTTGCCTCCAGAAATCTTGGGCGCTCCATCACTGGAGATTTTTAAGAAGAGACTGGACAGTCACTTGTCTGAGATGGTTCTCAGGTTCTCCTGCTTGAGCAGGGGGCTGGACTAGAAGATCTCCAAGGTCCCTTCCAGCTTTGTTCTATTCTAAATATGAGTCAGTTGCCAAGTCTCTGAATTTTGATCACGTGACCGTGGGGAGGCTGCAATGGTCATAAGTGTGAAAAAAGGTCCGGTCACTTTTTTTCAGTGCTTTTTCAGTAACTTTGAACGGTCACTAAATGAAGTGCTGTAAGTCGAGGACTACCTGTATTTATTTTACTTGGAGCATGGTCCTGCGTATTCCTTGGATGGCAAAGGTGAATAACAAGAAAATACTGGAGTGTGTAAGACCAGACATGTCACTGGAAGGCAAAATCACAAAACTGTGCCTCACTTATTTTGGCCACATCATATGTGTATGTGTGTGGGGGGGATTCACTGGAGAAAGCAATTATACTTGGAAGAATTAGCGGTAAATGGAAACCAAGCCATCAAAGGACACGGTGACTGGACACCATCAAAGATGACACCTGTCAAAGCATAGAACAAGTCAAAGAAATAATGCAAGATTGGAGGAAGAGGAGAGAACCGGCCCATAGAATTGCCGAGAGTCGGACACAACTGAATGGGTAACATCAGCACCATCATAGGTCAACCACTGCTATACAACACCAAAATGGTGTTTAAATGTGATGGAACAAAAACAGATGAATGCTGCAGGTGAACAGTACAGTCAGATGACATATGCATGCACTTTCTCTTCTTAGTGTCTCCTACCCCCTTTACCAGTGGTAGGATTCAGCCAGTTTGCAACAGTTCGGCAGAACCGGTAACTAAATTTTTGTTGCCCATGCCCAGAACGGACTTCCGGAAGCGGCATCCACACAGAGAACCAGTTGTTCACTTATTTGAATCCCACCACTGCCTCTCTCAATTCCTGGCAAATAGATGGGGAAGAAATGGAGGTAGTGACAGATTTTATCTTCCTGGGCTCCAAGATCATCACAGATGGGGACTGCAGCCAAGAAATTAAAAGACGCTTGCTCCTGGGGAGGAAAGCTATGGCAAATCTAGACAGCATACTAAAAAGCAGAGACATCACCCTGCCAACAAAAGTGCATATAGTCAAGGCCATGGTTTTCCCAGTTGCAATGTATGGCTGTGAAAATTGGACCATAAGAAAGGCTGAGCGACAAAGAATTGAGGTCTTTGAACTATGGTGCTGGAGAAGACTCCTGCAAGTCCCCTGGACTGCAAGGCGATCCAACCGGTCAGTCCTAGAGGAGATCAACCCTGACTGCTCTTTGGAAGGGCAGATCCTGAAGTTGAAACTCAAGTACTTTGGCCACCTAATGAGAAGGAAGGACTCACTGGAGAAGAGCCTAATGCTGGGAAAGATTGAGGACAAATAGAAGGAGGAGACGACAGAGAATGAGGTGGCTGGATGGAGTCACTGAAGCAGTAGGCGTGAGCTTAAAGGGACTCCAGAAGATGGTAGAGGACAGGAAGACCTGGAGGAACGTCCATGGGGTCAGGATGGGTGGCTTTGCAATTAACAACAACTGTTCTTTACCCCATCCTCCCAGACCAGCTATTTCGGGACCAGCAAAGCACACTGCTGGCTTACATCCCTCCCCATCTCGCTGCCCTTGAAGACAAGAACCGCAAGACCTGGCTGAAGGATTGGCAAGAGCGATGGGCAAGAGCGACCCACCTTCCCCACTCCTCATCAGGCGGACACTCTCACGACATTCAACCCAGCTCTACAGAAGCTATTCGGGGTGAAGGAATGACACCAGGCGGGGCTAAGCCGTTATCCGAAGGGTACAAGGAGCAGGGGGAAATAAAAAGTTGGGTCATCTCCTGCACTTGTGCTGAGCGCTCTCCTCCTTCCTCGTCCCCCCCCCCCTTCCCCAAATTTCCACAGCGTACTGGAAGATGCGAGGCGGCTCGGGCTGCAAAACCGCACGTTCTTATTGGAGCGCGCAGTTTCCCTTGCAAAGCTGCCGTCGCCGCCGCCGCCGCCGCCGCCGTTGCAGGCAGCGAGGCAGGATCAGCTGCTGGGGCAGTGACGTCACAGATCTCCAGCCAGCACAACGTTCCATTGAGGCGAGCGCGTGCTCCGGCGAGCACATGGGAAACAAGCTGCGAGCCGAGCTTTCTGGCTGCAGAACTGCGGCCTTGGCGGCCCTTCCTCCCGCCATCCCCGCTCGTTTTGTTTTTTTTGTTTTTGTTTTAATTCTTCTTCTTCTTATTCATCGCCGTGGATAGTACTTGATTTTGGGGAGGAAAATCCCGATCGAGACCGCGAATAACTTTGCAAGGCTTCCCCCAACTGTTTTGGAGGGGAACTTGGTCGGGCCTGGGAAGGATGCGTGGTAAGTCCGCGAGATCGGAAGTGGAGGGGTGGGTGGCTGGGGGGGAAAGGGGGTAGAAATAGAAGGCCCGTGGGGGAAAGGAGAGGTGTGTGCGTGGGGTTGGGGGGGGCGTCGTTGCTTTACGCTTGCTCCCTTGCCTTTGTTTAAACGCGTTTCCTAACGAGTCGGGCCTCGGAGTTGGCTCGAAGTTTACAGGTGCTCTTCATGCCCATCGCCTTGCGTGGGTTTTGCGGGCGCGCGGGAGGGGGGGGGGAAGACGCTCTTGCAATCCACCGACCCACGCACTGGGGGTGGACGTGGGGGGTGTCTTTGCATCTGCACCCAATCTGCCTCCCCGAGCTTTTTGGAGATAAAAGATGATACCCCTCCCCCACCATCAGATCGCGGTTGATCCGTTTTAGGAGGGTCCCGGAGACCTGCAACCCCCCCCCTCCCTTCCTCGAATCAGCGCCGTCGTTAACAATCGCGGGGTGTGTGTGAAGGGATGGAAAGATGGTCGTCGGATCGCCTTGCCCGTTCCCTCTTTTGCTTCTCCCCTCCCCCACCCTATCCCATTCCCGGGTTTGGCCTTCGGCGGATTATTTTCCCCATCCCCCCCCCCAAAAGCGAGCGATCTCCCCTCCTTCCCCCCCCCAAAAAAAAACTTCGTTTGCGGCTTGGCATCGTCGCACGCTGGGATTTCTTTTTTATTTTGGGGTCGCCCGTTCTCGCCGTCTGGGAAGGCGACATTCGCGTCGAATCGGGCCCGCGGTTCGCGTTTCGCCTCCGCCGCTGCGCCCTGGTCCAAAGGGCAGCTTTGGATGAGTCGCGAATCCGGGGTCTGGCTTGGGTCGTGGCTTGGCATTATGGTCTGCTGCGATGTGGCCGTTTTCTCCTTCGACGTCCCCTCTTCCCCTCCAGTTAGTTCCCTTATCCGACTTGGGATCGCTCTCGCCTATGCGGGATCTGACCATTCCTAAGTCAGGAAAAGGCGCTCCCCCCCCCCCGGATCGTTGTAAGGTGACCCACCTCGCTTCTCCCTCTTGCAATTAATTATATTTTGGTAACCCCCCTCAAAAAAGTCGTCTTCTCCAAAAGTCCAAATAGCCTCCCCCTCCCCTTTTTAAATCCTGCTACGTTTTCCTGCAAGAAACCCGTTTGGACCACAAAGCGAACTTTTTGGAAAAATGTGCAGCTTTAAATCCCATCCTGAAGAACCACAGTGGATCTGTAAGTAGGGTGAGCAGAAGTGATTGTCCCTGTGTGCATGGAAGATCCAACTCTCCCGGCGAGGGGGAATATTTATGCTTTGGTTGCAAAGCCTCTCCGAATAGTAAATGCATGGAAAAAGTACTGGCATCATTAAACTCAAAAAATAAATTGCCTTCTGAATATTTTGACATGAGGTTCAAATTGACAAGTTGAGACATGTTTGCGTTTGGCCCTTATTTCTGAACTTGCACGGTGTCATTCTGAAACTCTTGTGGCAAAAGAGTCCCAATATTTATTTCCTTTTATTGTGTTGCAGAAAATCTCTGTCTTTAAACGTGCATCTTAATGGTGAGGATTATTTGGTGGAAAACAATTTATTTTATGGGTTAGTTGATAACTGTACCACTTGCTTTGGAGCAGTTCCCCCCCCCCATATGAAAGAAATATGGTTTCCAACTGGATATTTTTCATAGAACATAGAATCATAAGGCATATAGACATTATAGTTAATTCCTGTATAAGTGTATAAGCCCAGTTGCATTACCAAGTGTTATTTTGATCCAGTGATATTTTTGTTATAAGTCATTAATGTTAAGTTTTTGGTCCTTCCTGTTTTAACAGGTCTGCAGAACCTTTAAATAAATCTTCCTAATGCAGGTTAAAATTTTCCATGGTCTTGTTTGTGGGGTTCTTCAAATAGCTTATTTCATGCAGATTTGTATTTTTATAGGAGAATTGCTTATACATTCATAATCCGTAATATTGCCCTGTGGAGGTACATGGTGATTTCTGAAGCAATATTTTAAAAGTACTGGTAACTTGCACTGAAATAAATGATTGTATTCAAGGAGATGAGTATTCTCTGACAGTCCTAATATAAAATGGAAGATTATCTCTTTTTTAAACTGTAGCCTGTAACCAAAGTGGTGACAGAACATTCTGGCTATTTTTGCTGCAATCTTTCACAAAATGTAGTCTTCCTGTTCTGTTTGTTATTTTATTTAATTGTCTAACTAGGGCTTTTTTCCCTGGAGCTCAGAATACTGTACTGTTTTAATTTACAGACTCCTTTTGAATTATAAATAATTTATTTAAAGCTGGAGCTTCTTCAAGGCGATGCCTTTAGAAGTGTTAGAGACTTGAAGTTTCCAAAATTCCTAATTTGGTTGGGGGAATTCTGGGAGTTGTAGTCCCAACCTACCTGTATCAGATCAGATTGGAGAAACTGACCCTAAGTCTCTCAGTAAAATAGGAATTTGAAGCTAGGCCTGTTTGCATCTTTCTTGGTGAAGGCTGATTTGTGGAAGAGACCCTTTCTTAACCAACTTTCTTTTTATTGGAAAAAGCAGTTTGCTGGTTATTGTGGGAACATACCTTTTTGTCCCAGAGTTCGTTAATGGGCAGAGATAGATATAAGAGAACTTCCTCTTCCTTTTCACATTCTCACTTAAAAAGAAATTGTATCCTTTTAATGCAAAGCAGGATGTCCATATGTCAGAAAGATTCTCCTGCTTGTGTAAATATAGAAATGGATCAGGCTCAGGGCTTGCTTTTGGGATTTAATCTCATCCCTGGATTGCTAGTTTTGCATCTGCTAAATCTTTTCTCTGTACTGTTAAGATTTGAAAGACAGGTCTCTGTTTGACCTCCCTTCCTCTTCAGCAATTGAGAAGCTCAGAACCGGATTATATATTTATTTACCACTCAAGCAGTATTTATAGACCACTCCAAACTGCAAGACTATGTACCTAACCAAATCTATATATGGGAATATTTACATTCCTATAGGAGCAATTCTGGTTATTTTAAAGAACAGGAACAAACAGAGTAGCATGTACAGGTAGTTCTTGACTTACAACACTTTATTTAGTGACCATTCAAAGTTACAAAGGCAGTAAAAAATGTCTGACTTATGACCATTTTTCACAGTTATGGTCACTGCAGCATCCCCATGGTCCTGTGATCAAAATTCGGACACTTGGCAATTGACTCCTATTTGCAACAGTTGTAGTGTCCCAAGATCATGCGATCACTTTTTGTGACCTCTTGACAAGCAGTGTCAGTGGGAAAGCCAGATTTCACTTAACAAGCATGTCATTAACTTGCAGTGATTAACTTAACCACTGTGGCAGGAAAGGTCGTAAAATGGGACAAAATTCACTTAACAAATGTCTCGCTTAGCAACAAAAAATTCGGGCTCTATTGAGATTGTAAATTGAGGACTACCTATATGTCCTATTGATGAATCCTTCAGGTGATAGCTAAGAAAGCTTACTCATTTTAAGTAGTAGTTAACAGCACAACCAGTAGCAGATAATTTTCCAGGTCCTAGAGCAGCGGTTCTGTTTGGTCCCCCCCCCCCCCGTCTGCTGGGTGGCTGCAGCAGGTTTTGGTCACTTCACATGACCCTGGGACACTCTAAATATGACTTAGTTGCCAAGCATCTGAATGTAAATCACAAGATCCTGGAGATGCTGCAACATTCCAGCTAATCGCCGCTTCTTCTGGGCCCAGCTGGAGCCTGGCACTGATTCTGGCGCTTCTGCTGAGCCCTGACAGCCCTGCAGCTCCAGCCATCTCTCGCTCAGGCTTGTGCAGTGCTGCCACCAGTTCAGCTCATTCCCCTCCCCCGTCACCACTTTTCTAGGATGGTCGCGTACCACCTGCCAGGTGCCAATGTACCACAGGTGGTACCCGTACCACTGGTTGAAAAGCCCTGCACTAGTGCATAGTTTCAGAGATCCTGTTTACCTATGTGGCAGTGGAATTTAGTTGATGTTTAAGATGTCACAAAACTGGGGGAGTGTGGAGTTCAGTTACTGTAGGAGCTACCTGGCAGGGCTGATGAGGTTTTTTTTTTTTCCGACTCAAGAGTCTTTGTGACTTTTTAGCTGGATGTGTGCAAAGCATTCAGAGTTTGAGCCAGCCCTTTCAAGTATGTATGTATGTATGTATGTATGTATGTATGTATTTATTTATTTAATGAGACTTATATACTGCTTTAAGTGCAAGCACTCTCTAAGCGGTGTACACCAGTAAGCAATGTATATATATATATATATATTTACATTGCCCCCAACAATCTGGGTCCTCATTTTACCTACCTCGGAAGGATGGAAGGCTGAGTCAACCTTGAGCCGGTGAGATCTGAACCACTGACCTGCTGAACACAGTCAGCTAAAGTGGCCTGCAGTACTGCACTCTAACTGCTGCGCCACCTCGGTTCTTAGAAGAAAAGAGAAATAGAGAAAAAAAAAAGAGAAATAGAGATGTATGTCCAACTCGTGGCATTCCAAAGTCATTTGTTTCTAATAATGCTCTCTATTTTGGTGTGAAGGGTACAAAACTAGGAATCAGACCAAGGGATTATTTTTGGGTAATGATACATTGGTCAGTCAGCTTGAAAAAGCATCTGTTAATTGTTTATTGCATTGTTTAATATGGGAATGCAGTGGATATAAAGAAGTCGTCTTAACACCTTTGCAAAGGCAAAAAGCGGGCTAGCTTGTTTTGACTTCCTCTTGTTATTCCTAGCTAGAATTATATCTCCCTTTTTTTCATTTTTGTCTAGCTAGCCATACCTTCAGAGAAATTAGCACTGAGGCTGAAGAACAGCAGTTGTGTGAGTGCTTGGGAGCGAGCTAGCTGATCTCTGAAGAACTTAAGATATTTCTTGACTTATGACTGGTTGCTTAGAGACTGTTGGAAGTTATAACAGACTTCCCTGGGGGTACTAATAACACAGTTCTGAAGTTCCAAAAGCTTCCTCCCCAGCAGCCAACTTGTATTTACAGCTGTTTGCAGGATCC